ACTTTTCAATTATCCAACCAACCCCAGTCCCCAATTGAGTCGGATAATTGAGGCTCTACTGTATTAATATATTCAACTAATCTGTTAATTATATTGTAAATATTATCCCAGAATTTTGCGTGTATATTAATAACTATCTATTGTTACAATGTTGCATATAAAACGTGTTTTTATGAAGTTAATATTGAGCTCTTCATACAGCTGTTATCCTTTAAGGATAAAGCTTATCTCTTATTTTTTACAAAAGGAAATTTGACTAGATTATAAAATATATCAAATTATAGCAATTAAATAACTTGCTTTGCATTAAATTAATTTAAAATTTTTATAATAAAAATAAAGATTTAAGATAAAATGCTTAAGTAATATAATTTTGTTCTTTATAAAGATTATGGACTAATATATCTACTTCCTATATTTTAAAACTGTTTACAATTATTACTTTCTTTAATTTACAGATTTTGTATTTTGAACACAGCTTAAAAACCTTGACTTTTAAATATATTGCTTTTTTTCTTTTTATTCTAGAACTACATAACCATCTAATATAATTATCTAGCTAGGATGTAGAATTGTCTAACAATCTGTGATTTTAAACTAGATTCCTTCCAATATGACAGAATAAACAAAATAAATCACAAATTCATTTTCAAATTAGTATTCTGAAAGACTTCTGTTTCATTTGAAACTAACTCTAAACATTTAATAAATACAATTTTATATATATATAATTATAATGATTCATGACTAGATTATAAAAATAACAAATCAAAAACAAAAATATTGGCATTCTGATTAACAAAGTATAATAATATGGACTGTACAGTCTTAAATGTTGTTCATCTCTTTATATTGAGAGAAGACTGATACCTGAAAAATAAAGATACATGTCAATTAAAAAATATAATAAAATGACATATGGTAAATTTTATGCATTTTTGACAAAAGTGAAATATATCTCAATCAATATTCTGACACATTGTGAACAAATGTTTAAGCATAAAAGCTTTGTCTTATAATGTTATATTACAAAATATATTCACCCATGAAAAAATCTGTGTAATTCAAATAGGCATTCAAGTATAGAAATGACATTTTTTCAAATATTTACACTTTAATTTATACTTTGATAATTTATAATAATCTATATAATTACAGGTGAAAAACAATACATATTTAAAGCAGTTGTTTCTTTACATTTCAGTCAAATTCAAATTTGACATTATCCATCCAAAATATCCATTCCCAGTACATAAACATCTTTTAGATGTAAAATAAAACAAAAAATTGTTTTCTGCGAAATTCTGTATCATTATCTGTAAAGCCAGTATAATAAATCCTGATATTAGAAAATATGTACTTGTAGATGAAAATTTATATTTTAGTTAGTCAAGGACATTGAGGCATTTTAATTAAACCTAATGTGACTAATATGTCTACAATATCTAAACTTATTGTATAGTATTCTAGATAATACTTTATTATTGCTCTGTTGTTAATTTTAAAAGCCTTTTTTTGCAGTGAAAAATCTGTTTATGTTAATGTATTTTTTTATTACAGGTTTAATAACCTTTAATAAAAAGGATACTTGTGTGCTAATTTGGCAAATATGATTGCCATATTTTATAATTGGAATTTAATGTCTTTCCTCTGACTATGCATAACGTGCCAGCTAATCAATTAAGGATTTAGTTTCAAACCTAATTTATCAAGAGTAGTATGAATTTGGAAATTGTTTACTAACTCCATTACAGATAAGAGAACCTGACATATCTGAAATGGACTGCTGCTGATAAATTCCTGTAGATTTTTACTTTAATTTGATCTTAGGTCATTCATAATGGAAGGGCTCTAACATCCTTGGCCATCCAGACATCTGAGATTACCTCTAAAAAATCTGACATTACTAACATTGTGTTCTTATTTGGTATAGGCAAGGGACATGTACATGTAGTTAAAGATAAGGCCAGACCTGGAGGTATAGCCTTTTAGGAAGTAAGGAGGGAAGATGTAGTGAGGGAAAGGAGAAGGCTTAGGATGGGAGGATGAAGGAAGGAGAAAGATAAGAAGATAAGAGGAGTTATTCATGGGTACCTGCCGGAGACCACTTAACATATAACAATAATACATAATCCCGCATGGATTGGATATACATTTATATGGTAGGGAGGTGACCGAAGTTAACATTAGAAAGAGTGATACAGAGAGAGATGCCAATAAGAGACCTGTACAAAATGATGGAGGCAATCTAGAAGAGTAATATTATTATTATTTGTGCTATCCTGCCACACCTATTGTATAAGTGCTACACACACAGATAATAAAACAGCATTGGGTAGCTGAACCAGAGGATTCCAGAATAGATGAGAAACCGGTTGGGGCAAAGACCAGGCCTTTGTAAGACCAACCACCCGATGGTACAAATGAGTTTAACCTTAGAACCTAGGTGGGGGTTGTAGGCAGGTAGTTTGCCAGATTAAGCTTATTGACTTAGTAAAATCTTCCATACTTTTGTAAACTGTCTTCCATAAAAACAATTAGGACACAACTGGCCATGTCAACTTTTTCTTCTACAATATTTCAATAATATAATAGTTAAGTTAAAGAATATTCCTAGTTTTAAAGAGGTTTTTTCATCATTTGTTTAACTTGTATTGTCCCTCTAAGTTGGAAGAAGTCAGAGTATTTTTTTTTACTTGTTTTAAAACTAGGAACATTCTTTATTTTTAGTATTTATTAATTATACCAATCCCATTGATTTTAATTATTGAATTTATGTACTTAATATTGTTAACATTTTGAATCTTTTGCCCATTGATCTTAGAGGACAAGGGTTTGCCTTTGGGAATACCATGCTGGAGCATTTGTTGTAATTGATGATTAGGTAATTTTCTTCACTCCATTTGTGCACCTCATTGAGGAGGTTATTCATATAGCACTGGGGAGTTTCATGATTTTGATGAGACAGGAGGATGATCGTGTCATCAGCATACCCCTGTATATAGGGGGTTGCTGCCATGATTAGTGTAGTTGTTTAGATTTAGGATCCCATTTATAAAGGATATTCCAGAGGAGAGGTCCCGACTTAGAGCCCTGGGGCATCCTCTGGAAATGGTGGTCTTGTGAAGAATCTTTCCAGCTTCAATAGCCAGGGCAGTCCTTTCCGTGAGGTAGCTTTTTAGTAAGTTAAAGATGTTGATGGGGCAGTGGGCGGCTGCAAGAATGACCAGAATGGCTGGCTACTGTGCATGGTTGAATGCCCCTTTAAAATTGATGCTGACCATCATTGTGTGCTTACCCACTGTCTTTGCATTTGACAACACCCTCTAAGGCATGATGTGCACCTTTCCCTCTCACAAAACCAAATTGGTTTGCATTGAGAATGTTGTTTTTGTTCGAGTGATGGAGAATCCTGTCTTCCATGAGGACATCTAAAATTTTTCCGATCACTGAGAGGAGAGAAATGGGGTGGTAGTCAGATGGCTTTGTAGGGGGGAGTCGTCGTCTCTTCGGATGAGCTTAACCGAGGCCTCTTTCCAGTTCTTAGGGAAGTATCCTCGGTCTAGGCACTTGTTGAACAAAAGTAGGAAAGTTGTTGGAATGGCTGAGTATGCCTGTTGAGCCATCCTCTAGTCAATAAAGTCAGGACCTGGAGCCTTGTGTTTTTTGATCTCGTTGAATTTTTGAGTGATTTCTAGGACCATGAATGGCCTATTGTATTCCTTGGAGGGGATGTTCATACTCTGCTCCCTCGTGTTCCTATGATGGTTTGTATCATGACTGGGGTCATTAGTGGAAAAGAATTCCAAAAATATGAGCTTGTAGGTGTCTTCAGGAGTGGTGGTATGATGGTGGGAGTTTTGGATGGTAGCAGGAGTGGTTAGAGGCTTCCTTTTCTTAAATATTGTGTAGAAGGGGGTTGTCCAAGGGCCCCTTGAGTTAGAGGCAGTGCAAAATTCCTACCAAGACCTGTTCCTAGAGCAGGTGATAAGGGTTTTATATTCCCTGAATTGATTTAGATACACCTGTTTGAGGAGCATGGTGGAGGGATCAGTTTCCCATTTGTACCACCTCTTTGCATTGCAGATCTTTTTCCTTTTAGTATTAAGATCCCTATTCCACCATGGGGTGGATGGTTTACTTATTTTGATTGTAGTGGCATGATGATGCAGCACGGAGGATTCCCTGGAGCTGCTCAACAGCAAAGATGATGTCCTGGTGGGAGTCACTAGAGATGAGGCCGGTGGGGTCTCAGTGGATTTTTATGAATTCTTGGTAGAGGTCCTAGTTCGTGAACTGTCAGAATTAGATCTCCACTCTCTAAACAACGGTCAGCTACCCACTTTCTGAAATAGCAACGGAGAAAGCTGGATTGATCTGTGCCTTGGCAATCAGAAAATGACAGATCTAAACATCAACTGTTGGACCCTCAAACACCTATCAGCCAGTAACCATACCTATATTTTGACAAGTATTTCAGCCACCGGATTGGTTGACCCAGTCGACCTAAAAATTTACAACTCTACTCACTGCATAGCCCTTGGGTCTTGCACTGGGCTATGCCAGACAGAGGATTTAGAGTTGAAGTCTCCACAGATTAACAAGTGGTGAGAAGAAAGGGTATTGATGAAACCTCTAACTCCTGTAAGGAGGTGTAAATGTTGCAAAAGGGTGGGGCATAAATATTGAGGACAAATAAGTAATGGGAGTTGTAGCTAATCCTGATAGTGGTGATGTAGATGCTACAGCAGTGTGTGATCAGTTGGGTGTTGAGTTTTTCATTGATGACCACCTGATACGGACTGGCTTCCAAATTATCAATGTTCCAAGTGTATATCTTACCCCTGCCCAGCATTGCCACCTTGTTGCCAAATAAGTAAGGTTCCTGAAAAACAAGGATATCAACCTCCTTCTCAACAATCATCTGGACAGTGTTGGAAGAGGCTGCCTTGCATCTTTGGAGGTTGATCTGTAGGATGTTTAGCGTTTCTTTCAGACTGACCTGAACAACGACCCAGTGCACAGTGTCTTGTATGTTATTATCCATGATGGAGGGAGAACAAAAGGTGTTTATTCATAATGAGTTCCTTGTACCTGGTTACTTTTGTACCTTTTCAATATGTAATAGCTTTTATCAAAGGCATTGTGGTCCATTTGTACCAGAAAACAAGGCGGTTCAGTCTTATTATGCTGAGTGCAGTTGGGATTCTTTTATAAATTTGGGCATTCTTTAAACTTATGCCTTTTTGAACAGTTACATCATCTCTGCCTCTCCATACAGTTGTGCAAGGTATGCCCAAAATCCGAGCAGTTGAAACAGCAGGTGACTGAGATGTAGTCATCCAGTATGATGGAGCTCCATTCAATATAAACCTTCTGAGAATGCATCAGTATGTTTCTAACACCTGGTGACACATTTAGAATGACATGACTGGAGTGGGGATTTCCCAAGTTAAAGCTGTGATTGAGGGTAGTGCTTTTAATAAATTCTTCTTGAGAGATCTGTACTTGAATGTGCTTATTCTGAGAATGAATGTCCTGAATTAGTGCTTTGTCATCTGTTCTGTCAAGCACATTAAACAGGATGACCTTTGGCAGCTTTTTATTCTGTTCAATCATCTTGACTCTTGAAAATAATTCGTTGTAAGATTTCAAGGCAGCTTTCAGGGTTTGCAAATCCGAGTTGTCGTGCACCTGTATTTTAATGTCCCCGCTTGGAGAGGTCTTACCCTCTTGACCTTTACTCCTAGTTGTTTTGGATCAACATGGGTTTGGAGGACGTGTATAGATTCTTCTGGTATAGGAACTGGTTAGTCTAGTTCTGTAATTGCCAAGATAATGATGATGTATGTTTCATTCCTGGGATTTTGAATTCCCTCTAATTTTGCAGAGTTTTCGGTTATCAACTTGGTTGTCTTGTTCATGGATCTTAGATTTCTATTTACAACTTCGGAGAAAGATCCCCTGTTTAGTGGGGGCCAGAGTTGGTGAGGTCCTTAACCCTTAGAGCCAGGATCATTCTGAATATTTGGTTTGCAGCAGCGTGCATCTTCACTGTTGCCTCTCTGGCTAAAGCCCATTCTTCTCTTTTGATAGAATTGTTAGTGTTAGGTAGGATGCAGTTTAGGATAGTGTCCAACTTCTCATTGATCGAGGTGATAAGTTCCTCCTCGATGAAACTGTGATTCAGGGTATCTTCTGGGTTTACCTGACATGATATAGGAATGGCAGTACTTCTGGGTGACACACACAGAAAGCAACTCACTACTAAGAGTTGTAAACATAAACACTTGTCCTGGCTGAGGGTGAAGCCTAGTGCAGCTTCCCTGATTAAGGAGCTAATGCTGGAAAGTATAACAGATGTAAAAGTCCATGCCGAAAGACACTGCCTTAATGGTGAGAGCTTGCCAGAACTGATTGGAGAAGCAGTTATCGAAAGTCCTAACAATTGGACGAGGGTTGGTTAAAAGGATTGGGAGAGCTGCTGAGAAACTCAAACGTGCCAAATGGCTACCAGACCATGTTGAGTAGAACAATGTCCTTTGTTTGGTCCCAAAATTTCTGATCACGATATTGTTGTTAATAACAGTCATCCATATATTAAATTAACAGAGGAGAAAGGTCCACACCAACAATATATAAACATCGACATATACAATGAACAATGTGAGAGAGACTTGCAGTAATCCAACTTTGTCCGAAAAATCGGAACTCGCTTTAATGATGATCGATTAAGAATTTTAGTACTCACGAAGAGTGCTTGCTTTCCTGGTTTGAGCGATGCTGAATATTCCCCCTCTGACACCCATTATTATCACAAAGACTCAATCGATTCGCAGAGCCAATACACAACACTACTCGTTGAACCCGCCTAGATGGCGCTCTCTGTACACAGGCAAAGGACAGTCAGAAGATACAGATGAAAATTAAATTGTACAATATGTTTTACCAGGTAATCTGATAAAAAAGGATACTGAGAAGTCAGATTTGGCATCATCATCAGCCAGTATTGTTTGACTCACTCAACCAGTATTGTTTTCCAAATGCTCAAGTGCAGCAATATCTGGAAATAATAAATTATTGCAACACAGAATTTTCATACTGGAAAATTATACTATAATATTAAGTGACTATTTAAGCAAGAACTCTTTGCGGGCACAGATGATTTTGGATATAATGTTTACAAACCTTTTAATTAATGTGATGGTCTAAGATATTTGATTGTACTTAAAGTGCTGTCCATTAGCTTCTTATTTATTTAGTGTTTGAAATGTTTACAGCTGAAGTGCAAGAAGCACTTCAGCTGTAAACATAGCATACTTGTAGCATGTTGCTAACAAGTATGGCTGGCAGAATCATCTAACTTTTTATACTACTTCTTGCCTATATGTTTTTATTTGATTACCTATTTTTTCTAGGCAGAAATTCTGATGACAGCATCTTAAATATTGCAAAAACATTCAGGTATGTCAAAGAGCTTCATTTTTAAAGAAAATAATATATTTTTTCTTAAAATTTTAAATGCTTAAAAACTTGATTTACAGTTCTGTAATAAAATATACTTGAAATAAAATTTTAAAACACACACTTACTTTATCTTTCAATTGTTGGCAGAGTTGAAGACCGACTGAGAATAAAATAAGGGCTTCATTTAACCATGGAACGAATGATTCGGCCTAAGGATAAATTATATTTTCAATTTCATTAAAACTAACAATTCTAATACATATTCAATGAACTTTTATTTTTTAATTTTTCCAAAAATTTCAAAATCCAATATCTAATGTGAACAATAAAAAGTGGTACTGTAATAAATAATCCATTTTGAGTAGAATATATTTTCTTCTAGTGAGCAAAGATGGGTTCAACCTCTAATTACAGAGCAATTCAAACATCTGGTTTTAGAAGACTATTCTACTGTACTCAGAAAATAGGAGTTAAAGTTTAAGGATGTCCATCCCTTTAAATGCAGTGCCATGCTAATTTGAATATTGAGGAGTGCATACAGTGATGCCAGATTTGACTAATTTGCAGAAAATATGGCTCCTTTTAAAAAATATTTTCTACTTTTTCAAACAATTGTCAACAGAAAAAAAATCATGGATTTGTTTTAGCTTCTGTTTTGTTTAACCACTCTGATATACTGTTCAATACTTAACAAAAATGGCAAATATTGTCTCCTTCTCATTTTGAAAATCATTTAGAACATTAAATTATATTTCAAATTAATTTACAAAAACAAATTAGAGATATCGATTGCCTATTAAGTCTTAGTTCTCTAAATTATACAACCTTTACTTTGAGTCCAAAAATTGTTAATATGAATTTTCAATAAAGTGAATTAATACAAATCCCTAGGGAAACAGTAGATGACTGTAGTGTAAGAGACTGATCTTATACATAAATGCAAATTGATGGAAAGAATTTGCAGACATGCTAGGGCTATTAACATCAGTATTTTATGCAAGATCAAAGGTGCACAGGGATACCATTTTTGGCATCATTTTCTTGTTTCTAACAAGTATCCCTCGTCTAAATTCTATGCAGGACACCATGTAGTTTGAATATCTGACAATTTGTAAGTTTAACTATTTACAGAATATATCAAAAATTTTTATATTGCAGAGAGATGATTAACAAAAACTGATTTTTTAAAAAACTAATGATGGATTCTCAAGAAAATTTATTTGGGAGGTTTAATCGCATTTTATTTTATATTGATACAGAATAAGAAAGGGGTTGGTAAAAAAGCAAGAAACATAGGGACCCTTAAAATATCGGGATGACATTTGGTTTTCAGTATATCTTTAGTATAACATTCAATGGTAGTGAATATGACACAAAGATATACCAAAAACCAAATGCCATCCCGATATACATCCCGGCTGATTCTAATGACCCATACAACTACAAAATGGCAGCTTTCAGAGTGCCTATCAAAAGGGCCTACACACAGTGTAGCAAAGAACAAGACCAATGGAGGGAAATAAGGAAAATAGCAGAAATTGCTGAAAGTCACAGCTACAATTAAGGCCTAATATATAGAATGGAGTCCCAGAAAAGGATCCACAAGATACATCTCCCTACTATATAGCTATAACATATGAGCATCCTATGCAGTCCCTATATCAAGAAATTGAGGCTTATACTAATGCAAAAATAGCTTACAGACGTAAGCCAGATACATTCGGCATATTAAGAAATGAGAAAGATTGGGACAAAATCAAAAGAACACCAGGAGTATATAAAATCCTGTTAAAGGATAAAAGATTCGATAGAGACCTCATATATATCTGAAACAATACCTTTGTGAGCACAAAACAGACATCGAAAAAAAGAAAAGCAATACCGCCGTAGCAATATATGCCAACGAAAATGATTCAACAAACCCGACATATAAACCAACTGTGAAATCTAGAGGCATTAGAAGTTTTTAAAGCAGACTGCAAAGGCCTGTCAATCAATTTTAAAGAAGAAAAATCAAGTATCAAGAGCATGGCAGGCCATTTATGATGCAACGCTGTAACAACTGACGCAGACGCACATCGTTTGGAGATTCAAATTTTGAAATTTAAAAAAATAAATTCCGAAGATAGAAGCATTGGAGACCTGAACGGTTAAAAATCAGAAATGCACCAGAAAAACTTGTAGAACACCTGATGAAGACCCTAGAAATAGGTCAAAAACATTTGTGTTACATTTTTAGTAGTAACTGCAAAGCTATACAAGGTTTGTTAAAATTTGCTAATACATTGTATTAGCAAATTTTAACAATGTCAAGTATGTTCTAGAATATATATGACTTATAAAAGTTGACCATTATTAGGTAGTATTATTCAAGACAAAAATTAGATGACTCAGATAGTGGTCTAATCCTAAGTTTGGTTTGATTTATTCAGTTATGACAATGGAACACATGGGTGATATGCTGAAGAGGAAATCGCTCCCATGAGGTCTTTTATGAGAAACTCTAACTGGCCCTTATTTAGGTGTTACTAACATGAAAAAAACCAGAAAACTCCACTTGGCCTGCCTGTTGGTCGTGAGTTTGTGCCTTTACCAACTACCAGTGTTCAGTGGTTTCATCCATTTGGCCACTGGTGGGGACTCTAATCCTAGGATCTACTACGTAGGTCACTTTAAACTTAAAGGAGGAGGGTACTTCAAGGAAAAAATTTTTTATCAATGCAGTTTTGTACTTTTAGTAATACATGTAAGATATATTATGGCACTGTTTGGTACTGAAATACCTGCATTTGGTGACACCGTTGAGGTGTCATTGTAGTACCCCAGGTGAAATCACTGTACTAGGTCACAAAGATGATTAAAAATCCTTGATTACAGAAACTTTTTCTCTGCAATTTAGTCTGTAGAATTGAAATTAACTTACTTTACATTGAAGGAAAAAATATTTTGAAAAACCAGCACGCAATGCTCTGTTTCACATTTGTGTTGTTTTGTCTTGCCAAAACCAAATTGCTGTGTAAAGTGATATATTTCTGAGAAATATTTGAGTAAGTATATATGGTAAATATAATTCTATTATCTATTGATATATAAAATGGATATGAAATATAAATGTTAAATACCTGCAAAACATCAAATTTTGTTTGTCCTTGTGAATCTTTTTGTATGTGATAGACAGCAATCACCAACTTGTGAGACTGAATATAAAAACTGACGGCCAAATCGAGCGGAAGAGGTGGTTGAAGCGATTTCTGCAAAATGAATCAATGAGTTGCATTATAAAAATATGAAGTTTCTATCAAAGGATAATTTATGTAAGAATGAAAAATAGATATGGTATAAATTTGCTTAAGAAATGACCTTATTGTACATAATACTCAATTTGGTTTGTTTAAAATAGAGAATTAGTTATTGCTCAAGATATTCTTAACCAGCCATAAAACAAATTCCAAAATGTTTATAAATTTCAGTCATTAACTCACATGTTAAATTTGTGTATACATTTAATTAATTTAATACATTAGTTGGTTGATTACTTGAAGTATTAGTCTTATTTACAAGAATGATTTTCAATTTTTTGGACTTGTAACAGACTTGAAAAATTATGTAAAGGTTGATAGCATGATTTTTCAAGTGATCAGTTTGTATTTAATAATATGGACCACTTTATTATTAAATATTAGAGCCAACTGATAAATCAATTATAAAGCTATTTTCAATCAAAATCAAAGCATCTACATGTTGTTCAAAATATTAACATTAATCTGCAGTTAGTTGCACTGACAGGAATTTTTTCCTTTTTTTCAATATTTCTTTCAGCTTGAAATATGAAACCTGCAAATCTCTTATAATCTCCAAGGTTTTTCTATTGCTTTTGTTCATGTTGAAATCACAATGAGTGTTTACTTATCCTATTTTAACTTAAGCAAAAAAGAAAAATCCCTTCTCATCATTGATGATTGCCACAGTCAATCTATTGTTAAACATTAATACCTAATTATAAATTATTTACATTAAATTACCCAGAGTAAGATAGTTGTAATAACATTCTTTCAAAATCTTGGAGTCTTTTGATACCAACTCCATAAATCCATCAATGCATTTTAATTCCTTTTTACCACTATGTCCGTAATTAACATTTTATTTTTTTGTTTTTACATTGTCTACTTTAAAAAAGAGAGAGAAATAGATTTGAAAGACAATTAATGAACATATTTATAAAAAAAACAAGGTAATAGAATTACAGATAATTTAGGAAGAGAAATTACCCAATCATGGAACAATTTCATTTATAGAGGAGGTTATGGATCGAAAAGTTTTAAAACAGAAGTAACAGCAAAAAAGAAAATAAGAATATGATGAGGCATAGAACAGAAAAAAAAAACAGTCAAACCAGATCAGTTAGTAAAGAATTTTTCATATTTTGTACAAAACTTAATTTTTTTTAATAGTTTTATCCCTTTATACAGGTGTGAATTAGAAAATGTTACAATAATTACATTACATTTTCTTTACTGTCCACTATTAATATACCACTAATACAACATATCCAAAAAACTGAGTGTAAGTAATTTTTGCTTTATCTTATCTCACATATTGTTGGATGTAATATCATTGTTTAAAAATTTTTATACAGTTGTTATAGAATGTTATAAACCTGCTGACTCGGGTCTACAGGTCCAAAACAAGCAAAAAGAGTGTACAGATGAAAGTAAAGATATTTTGTTTGACTTTTTGACTAAGTCCTAGTTATGAACAAGGTCCAAGTAGAAAACAAAATATTTTGTAATTACCTAGCAAACAACTGTTTTTTAAATCTTTCTCTCTATTAGAGAATAAGAACAATTAGAAATTCTTAGGATATGTGGAAATAATTAAATTTAAAACAAGTGACAATCAGAGGAAAGTTACAGAAAAGTCTTGACAGGAATTTTCCAATTTTATTGCATAAATGCTCTTTTATGTTGAAGTCATGTGGCTACTAAAATTATTTGTGTTATATATATAACACAATCTTTTCTATGATAGTTGGCCAATACAAACTTCTGAACACTGTTGATAATATATAGAAGTACATTTTATTGAATTAAACTTTGTCATTTTAATTTTTTATCTTGCAACATGCTAACTGAAAAACTACTGATAAATAAAATAAGGTCTTATTATACTGTATATGATATTCTTAATTTATATTTTTTATTTAAAATAAAAAATATAAATTATTGCAGTCAGAAAGATGTTATAAATTTTGGGTTATATGACTGAAATTTATAATATAAAGCATTTCAAACACTGTTAAAAACAATAAATGATGATTTGCATATGTCCTAAAGAAACTATGTTGAGTAATAAGGAATTATTAAGATCACAATTTATACTATTTTTGTCGAATGATGACGACATTAATAAAAATGTTTGATTTTTTTTGTGTTAGTGTATTTTGTCTGTAAAATTTTAGAAATTTTATAATTTACATTTAGAGAAAATTACTTATTTAATGTCATTTCTATAAAATGACATCATGATCATCTATTGAGATAGATGATCATTATGTCATAATTGTAGGTAGTTGTTGGTTTGGAGATAGATACATTCTCTACAACAAATAAAATCTGTTGAACCTCTCCTATTATTCAATTCTTGAAACTTATTTATGACAATAAATTAGTGTCATTAAAATACTTATTAGGTGTAAATTAAAATATATGAAAGAATTTCTAAAAACGAACCATATTCCTACTGTTCTGTAAATCATCCATGGTCCTCTTTTTAGGTACAATTAAGCTCGTTCTACCACGCTGTAAACATCCCATCAAGCTATTTATCATCTGCAATTAAAAAACTTTATGAAGATAATTTGAACATCAATCAAGATACCTAAAATCATCATCTGACTGATCTTTATAGCAGTCAGTAACAAAATTGCTGTCTAATAGGTAATGATACCAATGTCAAATGATTATCATCATCATCTACAGGATGTCTGTTAAGTCATGCACCACAGGCAGATTGTAATGTAATTGATTTTTCCATTACAGGATAATGTTGAGGCAGAGACCAATCTGATGGTCAGCTATTGCTGTAACGTGAGATAGAAGAGAAGTTCAACTGCAACATCCATAGTGAGCACCAATTTTGCACACTGCTATTGGATGACGGATCCTCTTCAAGTGTTTGGGTCAGCCAAAAGATGTAATTAACACATGTTATGAGTTCTCATAAATCTCTGTGCTGCTCTAAGATTAGTAAAAACAGCATTTGTCATATCCTCAGGGCCCACATCTTGTTTCACTCTGACTAATGACATCTTGCAAAGTATATGGATCACCCTTCTAAATCTCAAATGCCGTTCTGTTACAGTTCTGTTGCATACAAAGATATCACCCGAAAAACTATTTTACCTATGGTGTTTGACTTATGGGACACCCTGTAGATCTAATATATGCTATTATTTTCCTCATACTCTTACACTTCTTAACCTCTTCAAACCAGATTTTTATTCAGTAACAACAAATATAAATATTGTTAGATTACAATTACTGTTTACAAAATTTTTATTTGTGTGACATAGTTCTTTCAAATAAGTTGGCATTGATGTAAATAAACATGCCACTTTGCCTTCTGATAGGTCTGTTTGAAATGCACTTTGGCTGATATTCATCTGATAACTGATTTCTCTACATTACTAAAATTATTCAGAACTATGTTTAGGATGAAGGAATACATAAATATATCCCTCTTGAATCAATCTCTTCATATATTAATATACTAGCAGGTAGGGCTGGCATTGCTTGGGCAAAAGTAACGATAGTGAAGATTAAGATTATTATGTTATAGTCAACCTTACCCGTTTTCACAGAATGCAAGAATTGGGTCCCCCGTTTCCAGACTAATTAGAGAAATTTTAGTTGGGTTAAAAATATTTTTGATTTCCTGCAAAAACAGAAAAAAACTGCATCTGCGTCTTGCACATTGCTTTCTCTTAACAATTCCATTGTTATGTGACACTTCTATTGTTGATGGAAGTGTTAAGCCTTAATCCTGTCCCTCTCCCCTGGGGGGGAAATTTCGAAAAATCCCTTCTTAGTGTGCATTTTCGTGACGTACCCTAACTGTGTACAAAATTTCAACTTTCAACTCCTAACTGTGAGATTCACCAAGGATATAGGTAGATTCCCTATATCACTTACTGGCCACGATCGTGAGATCGGTTCTCTAAAGTTTCAGATCTCTAGATCTGATCTCAAATATTTCATAGGAGAGCGATAACCGCTAGTTGAACTTCGCAGATCCTGACAAGCATCTGCGAAGTTCAGATGCTTGTCAGGACTGACACCAGTTTGTCAATTAAGTTCTGCGGACAAACACGCGTATGAGATCTGATTCGGTCACACAACAAGAAACATCCAATTAAAAACGAATAATAAATTTAATAAAACAAGAAAATAAATTCATACAAAAATGTGGATAAACGAGAGATAGAATTACCACAAATAACCTACAAATCGGGAGATAGCTATATTTATCTCCTACCCAATTCGCGATCGAGAGAGAGAGAGCTCACAAAATCGTTATAAAACATACAATCTGTTTTAGTTGTCGTTCGTCTTCTTCTCTGTAGATAGGTCACTTTGGAGATAAAGTTCATTTACTTCTTCGTATTGGGGATCAATATGTGCACAAATTCAAAGTATATTTACTAAGTTCCCCTTTAAGGGCGTTGGTCATCAGGAGGAAAACTGTGTGGAGTTTGGACGCTTTCAGATCTGTCCCTGAACTCCCCGAATTCGGACTGATTTCCCTTATATCTCAAGATTTTCGACCAATCATCTGCTTGAAATTCGTTCATGTGAACGGATGAAAAGGGGAATCAAAGAGGGGGTAGATAGTTCCCATCTGAGCGAGATTTTTAACGGATAAGGGAAAAACAAAGGATGTACGACTTCCCTTAAAGGAAGTAACATCTGTTATCTATCTTTTCCCACGTCCAAAACACTAGTTTTTCACAAAAATGAAGTAATATTTTGTGTCAATATTCTAACATTATTAAATTAGACTCAGGGCCTTTCGGGTCTCACATAACCATTTGGGCCCTGCACTTATTATTATTATTATCATTATCAACTCGTCTCAATTATATACATATAGATAAGTCTTTGGAAGAATTGGAAACAAAAGAATTCTGAATAACAATACCTTGAATAAAAATTTCTAAAGTGTATTAACATTGACCAAAACTCTTGTGTGCAGCATAAGGATATACATCCAGGGGCTTTGGATAGTCACAACCGTGTTGACATTTGAACTTGCTGAGCAGATTTTGTGGGACAGAAATCCTCTAAATTTGATCTAACTGTGGGCCACTGAGGAAAATCCAATGTCAAACACTTTGTATATCTTGAAATATGGATCTATGACTTATATAAGAAGAGAACAGTTCAAGAAAGATCAAGTCAGCAAACGTTTCAAGCAGGCAAATTTTTTAAGTTGCCTGCTTGAAAAATCATTATAAAAGATTAATTACAGCCAGTTTTATTTTTTCCACTAAAGGTATCTTATGCACTATGTAGCAGAGATATCAGAGACTTATCACACTGTTACTGTGGACATCAAAATGACATTTCTGTAGTTAGACTGCAACTTTATTTCTGGTATGTATTTTGGTCCTAAAAACCCTCTTCAGCCATATATGAATAAAATAGATGTCTAAAAGTAAAACATGGGTCTCAGACCTTTCAAATAACTATTAACTTTGATCATGGGTTGTTGTTAAAATCTAACAAGAAAATAATATAATATTTAAATAAATTGAAAAGGGAAATTTTTGTGTCATTATTTAACTTATCATAAAGAATATTTTGAGTGATCTAAAGAAATTATTAAAAAGTTGTGATATTAAAAAGAAGGATATTGAATATATATTAAAAAAATAAGAAATGTAGAATTCTTAAATTTTCTATAAGAGTTGAAACTCATAAACAACCCATTGGACATTGGTGGATATCAAAAATTATGTATGACCTTTAACAATAACTAAAAAGAATCGTAGATGTTATTAACACTGAAACAAGAATTTGCTAACAGAGATAAGTTCTTAGATAATACAGTAAAGCATCGATTATCCAAAATTGGGGACGGGGGTTGTTCAGAAAATTGATCTTTCAGATAACCAATTACATACGAAAAAATATATTATTCATATAATATATCCCATGTTTAAATTTTTCTCTGTTGCATGTCACTTTGCGTTGAATTTTTGTCAATGTTAAGCCTAACGAAAATTTTTATAATAATAATCGTGGTTATTGTGTCGTTAAAAATTATTTCTTTATTTTGTACAAACAAAATAAATACATTGAAAAATATAAAAACCAAAAAAATTATACTTTAGAAGTTAATCTAGTATGAAAAATGTTCAATTCGGCACAACACAGTCCAACTGGAATGCTTTCGGATAGCCGACACTCTACTGTATTAATAGTTTAGTTATATTACCTAATTATAAAATGGCTTCATTTGATGTAAAATGTTTGTACCTGTTGATTACATATGATAGAGAATATGTTAAATAGTCTAGGTCTTACATCAAATTTACTATGAATAGTTATATTTATAATAATTACTTTGGATACAAAAATAAATATTACAGACAGAGATGGGTTCTTGTATAGGTCTTAAATGATAAATATTCATCAAATAATAATATACTAGGCATAATTTTCTTAATCATTATGTAGATGATTACCTCATTGTATATAAAACAGACTCTCTACAAAATAAAACTTGCCTAAATGGAAAATAAATCTTGGAACAGAATAATTTGCTGCATAGAATACCAGACTATTTAAGGAATTAACTGCATAACATATACCAAATTCCATTTTATTTGAGTTAATAGCTGCCAAGTTCTAAATAATAATAAATCTCATAATTTACCAGTTTGAATCTAAATTGATTTCTCAATGGCAAGAGTTACATTCTATTGATTGTCTCTATTAAGCTGGTACTTTCATTGTCTAAAAAATAACTGGAAATACCAAACCACTGTTTCTCTCCAACTCTCTAGATCAGTTAATTAATTAATAAAAACACATAACCATGGGCAAATGGGACTTGTTCAAGCACACAGAAAATATGTGAACTGGTGCCAGCACTCATGAATATAATAAGACCAGCAGTACTGATGCCTCTGGAAATTTTCCAATGGCACAATCTGCCTCAAACTTAACCCAGTATAGTTTGCATTCTGTTTTAAACAGGTTTTACTATATCTATCAATAATAAATATGAACTTACTATGGACTTCTACAACATTAGAACAAATAATTTGATTAGACAATGTTAATATTCTGCAAAAAAATCATATTTTAAAACTATTATAGTTGCCAATACTATCTGTACCTGTATAACTTCTTCTGCCGATTTGAAATTAAATTTTCCATTCTCAGCTATGCATGGATAAGAAGAGAAAAGATGGAGTGCTGCCATTAGGTGATTTCCGGCATCCTGAATCTATAAAAAAGTTTTCAAATAAATACTTTTAATGCAAAAACTAATACTCACAAACACAAACTAGACAATTTGTTATCTACTTTGCCAATGATTTATCAATTAAAACGATATTTTATCATAAGCAAAATTCACATTATATATAAATATGAATATGAATAGGAAAAAAAAATATATGGTCATAGATTAGACATAAAACAAGTAACATTGTTTAACACACAGTTATTGAAGTTTGAGAGAATATTGTGGGGGATGCTCACCTGTTGAAGTTTCCACTGACAGTCATTTTGCACAATGGTCCGATGAGACGGATTAGAATGTTTGTATATTTTGAGTTTTATATCCTATGCAAAGATTGAAAATGACCTTTAGAAAAACATACAAATTTAAAAATAACATTAAAAAATTTTTTATTCTATTCAATAAAAACAACTTATGATTCAAATTAGTGTTGAAAACTTTTATAAAAAGATTTCTTGGTAAATAAAGAAATCGGACAATAATAAAACCTATTTGGAGACATTTTGGCTAATTAAATATACAAATGCTACATAATTTGAACTAAAGGCATGTTATCAAGTTACTATCTTGTATTAAATTTAACTAGAATATTGTGCAATTTATATTGTATTAAATTAGAATATTCTGGAATAAAAAATTGATCAAGAACAGGACTATAACCTGCAACTCCCAATTACCGTGCAGTTGTGTTGCCAATTAATTATGTTACTTGGATCTCCGTCTGATCTTTGCTTCCAGACCAATTAATTTAGAAGATATAATCATTTTGACACTTGCCAAAATTTAGCCATTAATAAATCTGGCTTGTTATTTAATTAGTAATATAATTTGGACTTGGTTTCTCATATGACATATTTACATAAATTGTAAAGTCCCAAGGATTAATTAACTTATTCAAATATTAATGACCATACAAATAATTCTGGAATAAGTTAATTAATCCTTGGGACTTTACAATTCATTTAATTAAATATGTAAATTGCAATGAATTCCCAACTTTCCAATTTATAACTAGTATCAATTTTCTATTATCAGTATATGAATTGATGGATTAAGAATGCAATGCATTAAATATATCAGTTAATCGCTTGTTAATTGTTAATCATACTAATTGATTCTACCAGTGTTTAATCATCAATTGGCAATTAATTCCTGAATAATCAGAGGAATCAGTAAATAATCATTCCATTGGAAAAACACCATTGCTTTTTAAATTAAAAATTATTAAAGTAACATTAAAAAATTAAAAATGTTTAAAGAAATGATAACTTTATTATTAATAATGGTTCAAGATAATCATGGCAGCATATCAAATTCCATTAAAACTGCTGGCTTTCTGCATCTGTTTTTACATTGAAAATGTTAGGTTGGTGGTACAGTAATAAATTTTTAGAAATAAGTTTCAATCTCATTTGTAGCCAATCATTACATCTGGCCAATTCATTTTTGACATCATATACCTATTTTTAAAAGAAATTTTTTGTTTTTATTTTGTACAAACAAAATAAATTATTTCTTTATTTTGTACAAACAAAATAAATATATTGAAAAATATGAAAACCAAAAAAATTATACTTTAGAAGTTAATCTAGTATCAAAAATGTTCAATGTACTGTGATTTGGTCCTAACCAATTATTTGCCAATTATTTAATATTGTTTTGTTAACTACAATGCATTTGAAAGGATATCAGATGTGTGGAAGTAATTGTGACATAAGTCAATTAATTTATCAATTAATACTGACTGTAATGGAAAAACATAATCAACAGAAATATTAGTCACTGCATCTATTTGATCAGAATGGCATCAGTATAGAATTGCCAAGAAAGTGTGTAGTCTACATTAAAAAAGATGATATTATGGAAATGATGAATGGCTCATGGTGGCTCATTTAACTACAAATAACCAGAAACTAATAGTAAAAGTAAGATTCTACTATAATTTCAAACAATGAAACACTTAAATATAAACACTTTGTATATGTTACTGTGAAAGACCGAAATTAGTGAATGTCAATACTCTCTGGTGAATGTCGACACATACAAAATACGTCGGTGAAAGACCGAATATTTGGTTATATTATTATGCATTCGAACAATCGCCGGTGTATGTCGACAACCACAGATAAGCTTTGGTGGAGGTCGAAACGACACCCAAGAAGCCGACGTCGACAGAGAGGCGATAGTCTGTCATCAAATCCTTTGTGGGTAGCCGGAGGTAGGACAAGGTCATACCTCTTTTCCCAGCAACGGTTTGGTGAAAACCACTTTGTCACTGAATGGCGTTTTTGTTCTTTTGATCCCGTGCAATGAGGATTGGTTTGTCAGGTCAAGTGGCGGAGGATGAGAGGGGTTGTTGGTAAGGCATCAGCGATATCCAAATAAAAGACACCATTAACAGATCAGTTCCTAATCACGCAATAATGTAATCTGTTCGTAATTTCTAAAGAAGACTTACTTTCCATAGATGAGATTTCTTCTCAAGAAATATTGCTGAGAGAAGCAGCTGAAGCTAATTCGAAAAGTGGAGGGCAAGGCTATACACGCTGTCATTGCAAAAAGAAGTTTTCCACAAATAAATGCAGTTGTAAGAGAAAGGGACTTTTGTGCAATTCAAAGTGCCATAACAATTTAAGTTGTTGCAGTAAATAAGATTGTATAACATTAATCACATATTTATGTGTATTGTTATTCAAAGAAAATCACAGTACTGTACATTCACAGAACAGTACATTCTAAATCATTAAAGAAAATAATACAAATATTATTATTATTGTATTATTTTCTTTAATGATTTAGAATGTACTGTTCGTTTTAGGTTCAACAGTTTATTTACATGTGCTGTTACTAAAGCTTTCTCCTATTTTGACATATTAAAAAGTTGCATTTTTGTCTTAACATAATAAAAATATTTTTATTCAACATTCACCATCAGTGCATGCTGAATGTCGACATTTGCCGGTGTAAGTGAGAAATAATGAT